CCGTCGGATTCAAGGCTTGTCTCGAGGTAAATTCACCAAAGAAGAAGATCTCTTTGGTGTCAAAGGACCCGGCGACTCCGCCGCACCGGGGAAGGTGGAAGTGATTTTTTAAGGGCTCTCCGCCTAGCTGTGGGGGCTAAAGGAGAGACACTTATTTTAGTGCAATACTTGGAGGGTGCCTCTAAGGAGTGGACTTAGGTCAAGGTTTGACCGAACCACTATAAATCTGGTGTGTTCTTTCTTTTTACTGCTTCCGTGTTTTAATTTCCGCACTTTGTTTGTGGTGATTTTGGTTGGAGTTTTATCTTTGGTTTTAAAGTTTTCCAAATCACCTCTCTCTTTTAATTAGTTTTGGGACTAAGTTCAAGAGGGCCTAACATCCCTAACGAACTTTCAAATATGAATTTTAAACTCTCCCCAGGTGTGTGTGTGCTCAGTTACTCAATTATAATCACACTCTCTTAGACTCAATAAAATAGAAAATATAAACATCAATTATAATAAACTTTAAACTAATCTTGATTTGAACTCTTCAACAATCCGTAGTATGATTTCCCTGAAATGTTAATACACACAAGAGCAAAACAATTCTTCCAAAATATGTTAGGAGAAATAATTATCAAATCAATAATATTTGGAATTATCAAAAATATACAAGTTGCAAGAATATCAAATATGCAAAACTAAGTAGCAACTATCTCAACAATATTCTCTTCCCTTAATAAGCATATCAGTTTTCTTAGTGACTTTAAATATTAAAATAATGATGTTTTATTCATATTATGATAGTTAGATATTTGATAGAGCATCATTTTAACTCTTCAGAGTCATATCCTCAAATTTGACAATCATAATTAGGATGAAACTTTCAGTTTCATTATCTGAACTCATTAGGGAATGATATCTTTGCCTCCCAAGGTGATATATTAGTCATAATGATGTATTAAATTTTAAAACTGAAATTATAGAAATTAAATTCTCCCAAAGAAAATTAACTTTTCAAAACCTTCTTTTCAAAGTCAATTTTTCAACCAAACATCTATGTATTGCATGAGCCAATATGCATTGAAAATTAGAGGCTACTAATCTTCTCAATTATCTTCACACCTAAATAAGTAATTTCCTTGACCAAATTATACCCCCATAGAGAAGTTAGATTCTTCTTCCTCCAACCAGCTATAGACTTACAAAAATCCCCATAGATTTACACTTCTTAATTCTTTTCCATATCTAGGAACAGTATGCAACAACAAAATAATTAACTCTCTTCATCGATTTTGAAGTGGCGTCAGCAAATTTAGCACATCATCCGTATATAGGAGATGGGAAATAGGTTCACCCTTGGGAGCAATTTTAATACCCATATTCTCTCCTTTTTGATGAAAAGCATTAGATATTTAGAACATATTATAAATAGATAAGGAGACAAAGGGAACCCCTACCTCAATCCATTTTATGCTTCTATCTTATCGATTCTTCTTCCTTTTATTAAAATAAAATATCTTTGATTTAGCACAATTGCATAATCAAATTAGAGAATTTAAGAGGTATACCCAAACACTAAAGCAGGCATTATGGGCATAACTGTAGCAAACCTCGTATGCCCCTTTCTCATCCTTATACACACCTTATTAATACAAAGTAAAAGGGACAGTGAAAGAACAATAAAAGCATATTGAAAGTGTAATAAAAATGTTGCAAAAGTATAGTGAAAGTGTAGTAAAAGTGCAATGAAAGCTCAGTAAAATCACAGTGAATGCGCCCAACTTTATCCACACAGCAACTAAAAGCATAGTAAATATGTAATTTTTATTGCTTTTCACTGTGTTTTTACCGTATATCATTGCGTATTTATTGTGCTTGTAATGAGGTTTGATGCACTTTTTCTGACCAGTAAAGCCCAGCTCCAGTACTGTGCTTTATTTTAGCATGTGTCTTCTATCTACATAGTGTAGCCCATATAAAAATTATAAAAAATTAGAAAATCCTTATAATAACTTGTGATGAATTTGAAATTTACTGAAAAGTTGAAACTTGCAGCAACTCCTACTAAATTAACTTTGGCTTTCCTACACGCCTGCATACTTCCTTTCAGCCTCAACATCTCCAACAAAATTAACTTATGCTTCTTGGATGTCTGCATACCTCCTTTCAGCCTCCACGTCTTGTGAGCTTGCCATCTCCACGAATAATGAAATGTTCTCTTCAATCGTCCTCGATTGTTCCTCATTTTTTTCTCAACAGGTATGAAAAGTTCAGCAAAAATTCTAAATATTTAGGTTTGAGAGCTTTTACAATTTTTTTCGAATGGAGTGTCAATCCTAAACCTTTTTTCAAAAAATTAAAACTAGGAATTGGATCAGACTAATAAGACAAAACAAAAAATGAAATTCAACCACGTGATACAAACAGAGAGCTAAGTTCGGACTCCATCCCAAATAATTTTTCTCATGATTTTATTGTTCTTTTGTTGCACTTTTACAAAAAAAACTATAAAAAATAGTAAATATTTTATATTTACTAAGTAATTAAATATTTGTTATAATTTTATTGAGCATTTATAAAAACACATCGGAAAAAATAGTAAAAATAAGTTAATAATTAAATATTTGCCTGCTTTTACGGTCTTTTTAAAAAGCGACTGAACAGAATAATTTATCGGTGAAATGACAGAATCGAGAGAGGGGGAAACAGCCGGGCCATTCGTCCGTTGCTGGCTGAAACAAGGGAGCAATTTCCCAAAAAAAACAAGGGAGCACGAGAGCGAGGGAGAGTTTTCGTGTGCGATTTGACCAAATAGACTACGTCTTCTTGGAGTTGCGGGAGACCTGGGCTGCTCGTTCCTTCCTGGCTGAGACGGAATCAAGAAAGTGAGAGCGTCGACTGAGAAAGGGCAGAAATCGGAGAAGGGCAAGTAACCTGTGTAAGAGGTAAGATCAACCTTGTTGTGTTTTTTCATTTAGACAAAGTTGAAAGTATTTCAAGTTCTCACCTCTAACATTGATATTTCATTGTTATATATGTTCACTTTCATTTTCTCCTCTACAAGAAAGGGCCATAGAGAAGGAAAGAAGGTTTTTAGGCATTTTGTTAGCTTGATTAAGTTAAATAAATTCGTTAGAGGGATTCAAAAAAGAAAAAAAAAATCACATGACGATCTTAACGAGGGTTTAAAGTAACAGGAAGCCCTCAACCTTAGGCATTGTTTAGTCCTCTTCTGCTTCGATAGTTGATGGATATGCTCAATCATTGAGGTTGGAAATCTTAAATCCCATTTCTCATAAATATATTCTTTCATTAATAGATTGATTGAGCAGAATATTGCGGCTTTCTTTTAGTTTAAATTCTTCACAGATATATAATTGTTTGAATGCCACCATTATACATATAGTATTTTCGTGTTTGGATATATACTTATTGCTTCCCTTATTCATTTTAAAATCCGTAGCTTATGATATAAAGGGACGACTGATTCCTTATGAAAAGGGTAGATTGTGTATATTCTTCCTCTTACCACATAGAAATTTAATCGTGATGCTTTCTAATCTCTTTGTTGGAGTGTATGATATTCTTCAAACTTAGGGTTTGTGAGATGGATCCTTTTAAGCACCTCCTACACCAACACCACTCACTCTAGTTGTAGCGTCTGGCATACCCACACCACAAAACTTGCCTCCTTCCACCTCAAGCTTGACATCCTTCCCCATAGACACTCATCAAACTGGCTCACCAATATGCACTCCACCTATATCATCACCAACCGTTCAAGCTCCCCAACAAATCCACCATCTCATCATCTCTACTCATCTGATCAAATCTAATTCAAGATGTAGAATCTCAAACGCAAACTCATTCTTGGTCAATGTCACTCTATTCAATCCTTGGATGACCCTACCTACTATACCACAATTGCTAATGATGAGAAATGGTAGAGAGTCACATCGACTCTAGTCTCATCATCTCCTACTCGATGCATCCTCGACAACAAATGAACATTCAAAACTAAATACAAATCCGACGATACCATTGCCAAATGCAAAGACCAATTAGTTTCATGAGGATATAAAGATGAACATGGAACTAACTACTACAAGATGTTCATTCTCATCAGCAAATCATCAATAGTTTGCATCTTACTCATGGTGATCCTCTGCCTTAGCTAGCAAATCACCTAGTTGGATGTCCCTTCATGAACTATGCATGCATCGCTTGCTCACCTCAGTTCTTCACGGTAACCTCCAACACAAATTCACATGCAATTTGAGCAACACTCCTACTTCATGGCATTTAAACAATTTCTCAATTATACAACATTCATCTTAATAAAGAGAAATATTCCCTAAGATCTTAGATCATGCTAACATGATAGTTTGCAAACCACTTCAAAATCCCACCGCCACCAAAGCACGCTTCCTTAATATCCCCAACTTGAAATACACCAATCCCACATTGTCTGACATCTGGTAGGCTCCTTACAGTACACACACCAACTCGATTAGACTTATCCATTACAGTAAATTTCCCTTGACAATGCATGCATCACTTGCTCACCCTTCATTTTCAGCCACTTAAAGGCCTATGTTGATACATAAAAGGGACTAGCACATCTTCTGATTCACCATAGGTCACTCCAGCTATAAGCTTACTTTTACTCAGATTGGGCCAGCATTTCCAGGTACACAAGTCCACTATTGGCATCTGTGCATTAATGGGCTCAGCTCCAATCTCATAGTGTGTCAAAAAATAATCCATGACGGCCTTATTGTGCACTAATGCTAAATACAGAGTGCTTGCTACGATCACTATTGATCTCATCTGCTTATGTTGATTACTTGAGAACATAAAAGTCTCAATAATCTCAGCCATTCCCCTACACCACAATGACATATTCGCACTTGCCCTAACAAATAGTTTTGTTTTGTATGCAAGAACTAAACATAAAGAAATAGATTTTCATTTCATTAATGACTAAATCAAATCCAAGTAGGCAACATTTCTCACCACTTCGCCTCTCAAGATTGGCTGGTTTATATCTTCACTAGGCCCCCTTACAGCAGTCACTCCCATCTTGTAATATAAGTTGATAACTCTATGAAACCTAATCACCTTGTGGGGTGGTGATAAAATTACAAACACAAAGCAAGATAATTGAAACTCAATAGCTGCCACAAAATACGGTTACATTGTCTTTAACTAATCTCTCACTCAGCTAAAACCACTCTATTAATCACAACCATTTATGTCTTATATTTCTGTTAGTCTTTGCTATCACTCTGCTTTATAAAAATCAGTATCATTCCTACTTTACAGAGTATGAAATGAATGGTTATTCTTCCATAATTGTGATGTGCTACTGGTCCAGTCTAGTTTACACAAACGAGCAATGCTTGAGCTCTTCTTCTATGGCATTGAACCTCACTGCAGTTGCTGCTCTGTGCTAGCTTTGCTGGCATGTCTATCTGTGATCTTGATCTTGGGTGTTTGGTTGCAAAAATGCCTGGGTGAGGTGATAGTCCATGGTTTACCATGCATTTATTGGTCTATCATTGTAGAAGAATACTAGTAAGGTACCCATAGAACAATTTCTAGGAAAACATGGGCTAAGTAATTTTAAATAGTCAACTTAGGCTTCATTTGGGTTGACTGTTGCTGTTGGTAAAGCTAGTTATGGAGTTAATGTAGGGAAAGCAGAGCTCAAAAGTTGCTTTAGTTAAATCTGATGTTGCTGTTTGAATAAATTATTGTCTCTTTGTTGTTTACAACTCTGAAATTGTATTACACTGCTTGGTTAAACTCTTGTGCTATTTTACTTTTAACTAGAAGATTGAGATGACCATTTAGTTTTGTTGTCCAAAAATTTTTTGTTAACATTGGTTAAAGCAATGAACGTTAAAAAACTGACTATGCTTCATCGTTCAATCATATCTTGGTTGCACTCGGTTTGGATAGTCATACTTGAGTCTAATCAATGCAGCCATGCCTTGCTGCCCACCCAGTCTAGATTTTTTTGCCTAGGTTGTACCAATTCAAGCAGCTATGCTTGGGTTGCATCATGCCTAGGCAAAACTATGCATAGTTGTTTTAGTTGGATGCGACTGAGGAGGAGTTGATTATACATTGTCCAGATCATTGGAGCCTGGTGGATGAATTTTGTTTAAACAAAATTTGTTGGCTCCAATGTTGTAAGTGGCGGGGCAGTGCCACATTGGGCAGGGGATGGGTTGGCGTTTTGTTGGCGTGTCCAAGGTGACATCCTACAGGGACATAGACCTATCCTGTGCGGCACTTGCAGTCTATCCTGTATGTTTGACATGTACCAGCTTAGCGACATGTTGATTTAATTGCAGAGCAACCAGATTATTATCATTTTCTTCATTGTTAATGTCATTTAGAAAAAAAATTTAGTTTTGCTATATTATCTTTACTTCCATTTTTGGAAGGATATGAAAATTAGGGGTACTCATTATTACTTCAGTATATTGAGTCATTTTTATTGAATTGAAATAGAAAACAAGGAGTCATTTTAAAAATTTCCGTTTCCACTTATTTGAATTTTGAAAACAACCTCCATTTTAGGCATGCATTAAAGTATGAAACTCTAACTTAAATTGATGAAGTCTTTTGCATTTGGCATGCCCTTTTTTATGGTCCCAAACTCAAAATGCATGTTTATTGCATTTAATTTGGGTTCCTTTCACAGCATTTATAAATTGCATGCACTCTGTAACCAACTACCAAAATACCCTAAATTTTTTGCACTAGTATTCTATAACTGAATATTGCCTCCAGTCATTGATTCTTTTCACTTCCTGTTTCTGGCTGGTCTGAAAGAAACATATAAATTTGAAGAGAAATTATGGTTTTTGTTGTTTGTAGAATTCTCTAATAATAACGGCTGCTAGCATGCATTCAGGTATCAGGGTTGCTATGATCATGAATCTAGCATCCATCCAACGCACAGGAATATGGAGGATATCTCCAGTTTTTACAAGGAACAAAAATCTGGGTAATATTTCCATTGTTTTCTCGTGTTTCTTCCTTATCCCCATTTCAATGCATTGTTTCAGCTAATTTGCAACTGTATCGCAGGAATTCCATATTCCATCCAATGTGCTGTCCACTTCAGACCCTGCATCGACATACATAAGGTTGTTTTCACCTTAGAACAAAGCCTCTTTATTTGTGTTAGTTGGATTGAATCAGCCATCTTCTTATTCACTGTGAGCAAATAAGAATTGACGTATCTGTTTTTAAGCTTCCATAAGATTGTAATGATCTATTGTTTTATTAGACTATTCACAACATTTAGCTTCGATGAGAATTTTCACACAAAATATGGTGTCCGCCTCCTTTTCCTAAATTAGAAATAGTACGCGTGGTTTTTGTTGGTTGTTGTAGGCTTTTATTATTGTCTGTAGTTGTGCATTTTTACATTTTTTTTCACTCTTTAACAGGTTCATTTTCTTTTGGATGCTGCGAAATTGAATGCTAGCACCTTCATTTGTATCAGAAAAAATTTCTTCTTTAGGTTCATCCTTCATCTAATTTTATATTTGCAGCATTGGATAACCTGGAACCAAAATTTGAAGTGTGCCATATCATCTGATTTGCTTTATTTAGACTTACTCCAGTTTGGCATAATGAGAAGTATTAGCAATTTAATCGTTGTCATCATCATTAGTATTTTCCTAACTATTTGGGGTTGGCTTTAGTGAATCCTCATTGTCCTTTTGAGTCTTTCTTGAAATGTTAAACCTTACAATCCTTTTTGCATAATTTCAATTCATGTTACCTTTAGTCAACCTTTCTTCTTCCTAATATTTGTAATTTTATCTACATGTCTTATTGGTATATTTTCTGCCTTTGTTTACATTCCCCAAACAATTTTAGCCTGCTTTCACAACTTTATCTTTAGTAGATTTTACTCTTATCAACCCTCGATCACAATCATAGCTTAACTTATCTTTCATAATTTTTTTCTAAATGTACACCTTTACATTCTTATTCATATTATGCACAAGTTGATTATGAATGAATTCCTTAATACCTAGCACTCAAAACTCATACTGCATTGCTTTCATAATTGCACTTTTTTTAACATTTACCTTTAAATTTTGATGATATTATTTTATCACTAGTCTTTAAAAAGCATTTGCAGGTGTATGTTTTTTGCTGATGATATTCTTCTTGTTGATATGACTAGATAGAGAGTTGAAGGTAAACTTGAATTATGGAGGTCAACCTTAGAGTCAAAAGGTTTTCGCTTGAGTAGATCTAAAATTGAATATATGGAGTGTAATTTTAGTAGTAGTAGACCTGGTGAGGGGATTGTGACTTTGGGCGATTAAGTCATTAATAAGAGAACACATTTTCAATATCTTTGATGTATTGTTCAGAGTGATGGTGAAATAGATGGGGATATTATCAGTAGAATTCAAGTTGGATGGTTGAAATGGAGGAATGCTTCGGGCTTGTTGTGTGATAGAAAAGTCCCCCTCAAACTTAAGGGAAAATTCTATAAGATGGTGGTGAGATCTGCAATGCTTTATAGTGCCGAATGTTGGCCATTAAAAAAGAAGCATAATACTAAGTTAAGTGTTGCAGAGATGAGGATGCTCAGGTGGATGAGTGGCTTTACCCTTAGAGATAGGATACGAAATGAACATATAAGTGAAAAGGTTGGAGTAGCTCTAGTGGAAGATAAAGATTAGAGAGAATCGCCTTAGATGGTTTGGTCACATAAAATGATGGCCTTCCGATGACCCGGTTAGGAAAGTAGAGGTATTAGATTTGACTTATGTTAAGAAAGGTAGAAGTAGACCAAAAAAGACTTTGTTAAAAAATATTAGAAATGATATTTCTTTATTAGATTTGAACAAGAAGTTGACTTTTAACAGGACACAATGGAGAAAAAGGATTCATGTAGCCGAACCCATGTAGTGGGACAAATGCTTGATGTTGTTGTTGTTGTAGTCTTTAAAAAACATGATTTAATGGTTACTTTAAAGCAGAGCAAAATGCTTTAAATAGTGAACTTCAAACTGTTTGTGGTATGAAGCATAAGCTTCCGTATCTGAAGCATGCACTAATGATGTGCTCTAAAGCATGGAAAGCTTATGCTTATGCTTCTCTTATATTTTGATGGTCTAGTTTAATGTTTTATGCTATTCTAAAGGAATGGGTGGAAAATAAAATAGTCAAAAAGAAAAAAAATTATCACTTCTCATCCATCCCAAGATCTCCTTTCTGAAGTTATAAGACAAATTTAATGTCATTTTGATGTCATATTTTGTAATATCTTGTCTTTCATCTCATCCTATCTATACTTTACTTTCTCAACAAGCATGCGCATTGACTTCTATTTGTTGCTCTTCATTTTGATTTTTTACCCTATTCTCCTTCCTATTCATCTAGGGGCAACATCTATTTTTATTAGTGTCCTTTATTTAAATATTGAACCATAGCTATAATTTGATGGTCTTGTTTTAACTTGACATCATGTATTCTTTATATAACTTAAAATTCATATTATGGCAACTCCATTAAATATGTTTATTATAATAATACTATTTCAAGCTAAATAAATATTAAGGAGATTAGTTAAAATGGTTACAAACTTGTATTTTGTTTAATATGAAACATTATTGCATTTAATATTTCCTTGATTTATGTTATAATATCTATGTTGCACTGATTCGGATACGACGACACAGATACAACAAGACACGAATACGGGACACATCAAATCTTAAAAATACATGATATGGGTATGGGACACGGCATTATAATTTATAAATCATACATAAAAATTAAGAAAAAAATCAAATATCCTATTTTCTAGTAAACTAACATCAATGTAAATGGCTCAAAGAGATTGCATCTACATCAAAAGTGTATGAAGCTAGGCCAAATCAAGTACGGATGGATTCAAATGCTGTTCTTGTTAAAATTTAGAGAACAAAACCTAACAAACGGATGTTTGTCTCGCCTAAACGAACGCCTCGCGCAAACGAACACTCATCTTGTGTATTGCCTTGCCTCGTCTCACATATGCCATCGTCTTGCCTGCTAGGCGTCAGCCGCAAGACGAAACTCGCATGCAGCTGCGAAGGCATGCTTGCCGGTCGTAAAAATGAAGGAGCCCTAACGCCTTGTCTCGCGGGTTCAGAAATGAGAGAACCTCGTTCGCAATCGCGGAAGTAAATACAACGTGTCTTTCTTCTGGATTTTTTTTTTTCATTTTTTAACGGACACGCGTATCCGTGCTCTTTCGAAATTAAATAATATTTTAATTGGATATGGCAAAGCTGTATCCGACATGTATTGCTGCCGTATCGGATGCGTATCCGTGTCTGACACGTATTATATACAACACGCCTTCATAAATAGGTGTAACGGTGCAACATAGCGTAATATATTTAATATTTTTACATGTGAAAAAAAATAAAATGATGAAGCTTATATTTTGCACTTTGAACCTTAGGCTTCATTTTATACTGAGGTCAAAAGCTTTCCTTCACTCTTATATCCGTTTTAAGCACTTATGTATTTTAAATGTCCGAGTCTCAACTTGGAAGGTATATCTTCTTCTATATTCCTAATCTTGTTTATAATAGATTTATGATATTTAAATCTGCCAACTGTGTATCACTTTATATTTAAATAATATTAGTTAATAATATTGAGAATTATGAAAGAAGAATAATATAGTTTTTCTTATTTTAATGGTTAGAGGAGATATAATATTTACAGTAAAGATATAATCCATTAATATAAAAAATAGTAATATAATTAACTTAAGTAATTACAACCATTTCAGTATTTAAAATTTTATTTTGCATAAGGAAATAGCGATTGATAGATTTTATATAGAAGATGAAATAGTAGTGGATTGCCAGGATGATGATGCTAGAGGTGCATAAGCTATGGATTGTCAAGGTGGAACAATAGAATTGAATGCCAAATTTAGTGTGCTATTTTCATAATTTCTACACTTTTTGTGAAACTGGGACTATATATTGATCACTCTTGGAAATAAGTTTGTTATATTGCAATTAAGTAAGAGCTTTAGTAAGAAGGCCATCTGTTTGTTATTATGTTCGAGTGAAACTAATTTTGATTATTCATTGTTCAATTTTCTCTTTTATACAGTATTTATTAATTTTGATCTGCTTAGTCCTATCATGGTGGACATGATTCTTAGCAAAGCTAATAGCACCTTGATTGTCACCTATCATTATCTTTGGTTCTTTTGTGGGACCTTTTAAATATTCGAGACGGCATATACGTATATACCTCACAAATTCTATGGGCCATATCTTAGAATTCTTCCTCAGCATCACTTTGAGTAACAACAGTTCGTTCTTGCCTCTCTTGTTACTAAATTTTCCCACGTAAAGGAGCAATAACTATATGTGGATGTATGATAAATTTTCGATTCTACCCAATCAAATTAGCGAAGATTCTGAAGAATGGTCCTATTTGAGGTGTCTTTTTAAGATGCCTCAGTGTCCTATAATATTATCAAGATGTTCTTTTATGGAGTTACTCATAAAATGATTAACAACACTCATAGGAAAACTAGTATCAAGTCTAATATGGGATTGATTGATGAGTTTAAATAAATCATTGGCATATTTTCAGTTTTGCATCCAATGATTAATAAGGTCCTCTGCAGCATCAGGTTGGTGGAAGAGATTTTTTAAGGGCTTCTTCGTTTTGCTGTGGGCGCAAAATAAGAGACATTAGTTTTAGTGCAATACCTGGAACATAGGGTTCTGAGGAGTAGATTTAGGTTAGGTTGGATTGAACCACTATAAATTCTGGTGTGTTTGTTCTTATTAGTTTATGTACTTTATTTTTTTTGTGATTAATTGTATGGTTGAAAACTCTAATTTTCTTGTTATTGTGAAATTAATTCGCTTCCACATCAAGTGATAAAAATTGTCTATTTTCAAATATTGAAAAAAGTTATAAAAAGATTTTCTTTTTTTTTTTCAAATTTTTTTAAATTAACAATTCACCACCTCTTTGCTAGCCTCGGACTAGTTCTTTGAGGTTTAATAACATTCGCAAACTTTTATTAAACACTTCTATTTGTGTTTGATGACTTTCTTCTGGTTGGGCAGATTTGATAGCTTCTAAGTAT